CTCACACACTTCTGTCATACACAGCTGTTAACAAGACTTGAGAATATCAACAGCCTTGAGGTGTTTACGGTGCAGTGTCTTCAATTATCAGGAGAGCTACCTGCCAGGTTGTGTCTAATTCCTTGCAAGGCGAGAGTGTACACGAACAAGTATGTTTATTCCTGTCACCTGTTTTTCTGCCCAGGGGAAAGTACAAACTTAACAGTAAGTTCAACTGTTCCTTGTTAATGGGCTTTATTTATTTGACATTTATTTAAGTGAGTCTGGATTGTTTCCTCCGCTTATCCATTATATAACCGAGCGCGGTTGCATTGTCCCACTTTTTATCATTCTAGTCGGCTTTCCTGTTGCCTGGAGGCTCTGGGCTTTGTGAACTTTAAGAACGTATGTCTTTTCTCTTTTCTGTCCTTCAAAACATAATCAGTTCCCATGCACCAGAGGCCAGAGGGGGTATGTGAAATGGAGTGCATACAAAATGGGAATCAAAGTCTGATATCGCACTTCCCATTTACATTTCATGTATCATATTTTTGATCTCCACTAAACCCTGTGACATATGTTGATGCCACACTTGTTCATTGATTCTCTGCCAAACTCTTATTGAATGCAACGTCTCTGGTAGAGGCATTGTCTCCGTTCGTCTTCCTGTTCCTGTGCTTCTCTATTTCAGGTGTTGCCAATGCAATTCCAGAAACTGCCCCACAACAAATATATATTCAATTTAAGCACTCATTTTAAGCATGATCATATGCGGTGATAATAAAATCAAAGAGGCAACTTTTGTTTGTTTAATGAAACAAATATGTGTCTGTGCCAATGGGAGACTATTGTAAACTGCTTGAATTATAATTACGTAGCTTTTTTTGTTAGCTTTTTCTGCTGAAACACTTTAAGTCAAATTCCTAGTCAACATAATTACAAATAAAGTTGATTTGGGTTTTATTATTTACAACGAGGATGCATCATAAAATCAAGGTCCTTAGGGAACGTAAGCTGTTTTATTCGTTTTCAAAACACATAACGCTGCACCAATGTAGCAGGAATGTCAATGTTTAGGGTGTGCAGTATCACGGCGAAAGCTGTAATAATGCAGTCCAGTTCATTGGAAAAGTACCCACAGGTTTACATGAATCCCATTATCAATGTAAAATATTCAAATTATGCTTAACTAATTTCGTAATGTAATATTTAGTTAATGCAGTCTTTCAGTGACCACCTGCAAAGGCGATCTTAACATATGAAAAAGCTTTTAATTGACTTTTGCAGGGAGCGGGTTGAACAGGTAAGATGTCGGTTTAGCAGCATGTACTAACGGCAAACGTGTTTAGTGAGCCTGTTTCTTTCTCAGAGAAACTGCTAGCACCGGCACCAAAGAAGTAGCTGAGCATTCTTAGAGAGACTAGAGACTTCATTTGGTAAATTGATAATTTCATGTCTGATTAGGTCAATTATTTGCATTTGAAGAAGATTAAGAAGTTCAACGTGTCATTAAGGAATGTTAGGGAATAATTTGCAGTAAACGCGTACAAGCACAGGAGGTGGTCACAGGGAAGGTTTTGAAAAAGCTATCATGTCAAGAAGAAAGTAATGATTATCTCTATTAGCATTGATGAGTTTGGAGGTTTTGAAGGGGGGGTGGGGCTTACATTTGCAGCTCTCACTCGATAGTGAAGCAATTATCATGAGTTCATTTATTGACACTACAATATTACTCAGGGATTTAGGGAGATATTAAATAAATTCCACCACCTGAAAAGTGCCCTCTTGGATGCTCCTATGGTAGGTAAAACATAATAAAGTGCCCTCTACATTGGCCCAATGTGTAATATAGAATGATCAAGTGCCCTAGAGGGTCCTTCCAATGTAGGTGTGATACAGTGCTCTCTAGAGTAACCTTCCAGTAGAGAAAACGTGATAAAGTAACCCATAGGGTGCGCTTTCAGTAGAAAAAACGTGATAACGTGAGCCAGAGGCTGCTTATCCAGTAGAGAAAACGTGATGCAGTGTCCTGTAGGGCAGTGGTTCCAAACATTTTTTCCTTGAAGCTCCCCCCTACTTGTTTCTATTAAAAGCTGAGGCTAAGACAGCCTGCGTCCACCACTGCCATGTGTGTTGGTGCTGTAGCTGGAGGTCATCTAACAGAATCTGCTGAAATCCTTTATCAGTATCTTCATCGCCATCTTTGTGTTGTCAATGCTTTGTGCGGGCCCTGTGCCTCCCATTCAACCTTTTTCTAATGATGGGACATTTGACCTTTGATTGGCAAAATATCAGATTTTATGGAATTGAAATAATTGCAGAATTTGTCTTTTTTTGTTTTGGGTGTCTCCTCTTATTACAATCAACATGTCAAGATGGTCGTTCACTCTTATCATGAATTTCATTTTGGACTGGTAACAGAACGTCTGTCTCTCCTTGTGAGACTTTTTAATCCTCTTAATTTTTAAGCTAAATTAATCTTGGCTAAAATTTGTCTAAGTCCATCTCTGAGATAAACATATGATTGAGATCTTTCCCCTTGACAGCATCTCTCTCTGCTGCAACATGCATCACACAGTAAGGTACGGCAAACAATCAGGACTTTGTGAGATGTGACGTAACACAACCGACAATTTGAATTACTTATTCTATCACCACAGTTAGTGCTTGGGTGTAATGCTTTTGTCATTGGGGATTCATTTCATTTTAGGTGTTATTTAAAGTGCAAAAATATGTGGAATCACAAACCTTCCCAAAAAAACTGGAACCCAAAATGATTATCATTCCAAAATAAAACAAAGAGCTACTGTTTTTAAATGCAAAACAAGTGATATGCATCCATAATAACAGATTAAGTGTCTGTATTGCCTGTGCTTTCTTTGTGTTTCTCATTCATGGTTTAAGATTCATATATTTTCTTTGGTCTTTCTTTGGGTTTCTGAGGTTGATCTTGAAGGAAATCGTACACATGTTTAAGGGGGGGGGGGGGGGGGGGGGGG